CGAACTGCGTCATGTGACCTTTAGTGTTGTAAAAGCCCTTGAGTGTGTGTTCAGCAGTGTGTGAGAGTGCTGCTTCCAGAAGTGCCCCTCATCCATCTGCCCTCAGGGAGATTAGTTTAAGTGCTATGATAAGCCTTGAACCAATGGGTAATCAACATTACAGACGTTCAATAGACGATGAATATCTCACCAATAAGAACTACAATCCCATGAAGCACTGCAAAAAGCCCAATTTCTGTGCATTTAAGGACAAACAAAAAAAACAAGACAGCACATGGTAAGGCCCAATCCCAATTCTACCCTCCAGCCCTTCCCCTTATCCCTAAGGTGGAGCTAAAGATCTGCTTTGCTCACTGTGACTCACTAATTGGTGAATGTCCTGCAAAGCATCATGGGTAATGTAGTTTTTCTGCAGAACTACCTATTTCAAACATGATTTCGTTTGAATAAGTTGTATTAATGTGAATGGACGAGTTGAATAAGCCAACTGAACATCCTCAGAGCTCACATTAGCGCTGCTTTCACATGTTTATCAGATAAGAATTGCCCTATGGAGAAAATGAATGGAGAATTTGCTTCTGGAACTGGACTGTTCGCACTATACTGAACAACGAGTCTTTGATATATGACATTTGTAACATGTATCGGGACGTTTTAGTGTACAAAAGGAGCAAACAAACAGTCTTTCTACTGGATTATCAATGATATAAAACCATTTCTTTTTTACATGATCAAAAAAACAACAGTGGAAGTGCATCATTATTGACCAGGACAGAACATTTCAAGTAAAACAACTAACAAACAGCAGAGAGAAAGACATGAAGAATCTCATTTGCACACATAAAAACAACACACACACACACACACACACACAACAAAATGCTAGGAATGAGGGAGTTAAAGATGGAGTTCACCCGGAAATTTAGTTTACTCATCATTTCCTCAAGTGCTCATAAACCTATAGGAGTTTCTTTCTACTGCTGAACACAAAAGAAGAGATTTCGAAGAATGTTAGATACCTGTAACCATTAACTTCAATATTGTAAAAAAATACAATGGAAGTCAATGGTTACAGGTTTCCAGCATTCTTCAAAATCTCTTCTTTTGAGTTCAACAGAAGAAAGAAACTCTTAAAGGTTTGAAACAAGTGAAGGATGAGTAAATGATGACAGATTGTCTTTTTGGGTGAACTGTCCCTTTAAGAAGAACACAAACCAGGGGAAATCCTGAGGGAGGAGTAAAGCTTTGCTCAAACAATAAAGCTAACCTCATCCACAAGATAAACACACACACACACACACACACACACACACACACACACACACACACACACACACACACACACACACACACACACACACACGTTAAAGAGAGAAATGAAGAAAGCAGTGACTGCACACACACTGAAAAACTGCAGAAACTCAGCCTTGTTTTCCAACGTCCTCACGTAACACTTTGACCCGTCAGATTATTCACACAGAACATGTTTATATTATATGGATGCATCATGTTTGCTCCACCGACTTGAATCTCAAGTTTTACCTGTAATAAAAGCACTGTGTTCTGCTGCTTTCAGAGGACAGCATATTAAAGTGTACCTTTCCTCACCTCATAGTGCATCTACATACTGTCTCCGGCTTCCAGAAGAGTCATTAATAAAACACTCAATCTGCTTGAATCCAATCAGCAACTATTTTGTTAAACTAACTTTACAAGTGAACAAGCAAGGTTTGGAATGTAAACAAATCAGATTATATCGATTTATATATTCATCTCAAACATCTCATTTGAGTTTGTTTAATTATACAGAATGGAATTAAATTACAGTCTTTTACTTTTATTTAAATATTGCTCAAAACAGTCCATATTTATGAAACATATATATATATATATATATATATATATATATATATATATATATATATATATATATATATATATATATATATATATATATAGTTACAAAAGTTTGGGGTCAGACAATTTTTAAATGTTTAAAATAAAAAAGCTTCTCCTGTTTACCAAGGCTGCATTTATTTAATCAGCACTAAAAAATAACTGATTAAAAGTAGTTTATCAATCAATTTAATCATTTATTCCAATGATTTTATTGATGAATTTTCAGCTTCATTACTCCAGTCTTCAGTCACATGATCCTTCAGAAATCACTTAAATATTAATTATTATTATCATTATTGTTATTATTAGTAAAATTATTATTATTGTTGTTGTTGTTAATATTATTATTATTAATATTATAAATATTAATTAATATTATAATAATATTATTATTAATATAATAAAATCAATAATGAATAAAGTAATAATTTCACACAAAAAGGAAGTTTATTCATTATTTACTCCCCCTCAAGTGAACACGAGAGAAGACATTTTGAAGAATGTTGGAAACCTGTAACCATTGATTTCAATTGTATTATTATTATTATTATTGTTGTTGTTATTATTATTATTATTATTATTATTAATGGTAATAGTAATAAAAGCAATAATGACTGTGAAAATGGGCAAAATTCTTACAAATAATAATAATAAATGAATAATGATGTGTATATGGAGGGTCTCACTGCATCTCTTCCGGGTCAAAATGAGTGTCAAAAACAGGGTATTGGAAAACAAGGCTCCAAAATCTGCATAACAATAAAGCCAGTTGAGTTTCCTGTTCAGATGCTGTTCTCCTGCGTGTGTGTGTGTTTAATGAACAACACAAGATTAATCTGAGAGAGAGATGAGTCTGACTCCAGATCAGCAGCTCTCTGCTCTCATCACTGTTTCTGATGCTACAAACCACTTAAAGTCACTTCCTCTACACTGGAAGACTAGCAAACACTATTTACACGCACACACACACACACACACGCACACACACACACACACACACACACAGATTCAAAACCTGAAATATTCTGGTGGAATTATATACACTAAAAGGTACAAAATCTCTGATTTCAGCTCTAGTAACAGCGCAGGACATGGAAGATTAATCATTATACATTTTTAAAATAGAAATGAGCAGTCGGTAACTTTATTTTAAGGGTCCACAATAATGCATTAGTTAAGCATTTATTAATGTTAAAAAATAAGCATTAGTTAAAAACAGTTTTAGTCAATAAACTAGAATATTCCTCAATAAGTGGCATAATTCATGTGGATATCACCTTCACTTTAGCTCAAACTGCCTTTATTACCATGTAATAATGACTTTTAGCCTTAATTATTAGCTTGTTGTAATCAATAAACTTGAATATTCCCCAATAAGTGCCATATTTAATGTGGATATCACTTTCATTTTAGAATAGGGGTCAAATTGACTTTATTAACACAGTATTAATGACCTTTATGCCTAAATTATTAGCTTGTTTTAGTCAATAAACTTGAATATTCCTCAATAAGTGTCATAATTATTGTAGATATCATTTTCACTTTAGAATAGGGGGGCAAATTTCCTTCATTAGCACTGTATTAATGACCTTTCAGCCCTAATTATTACCTTGTTTTATTCAATAAACTAGAATATCCCTCAATAAGTGCCATAATTAATGTGGATATCACTTTCACTTTACAATAGGGGGTCAAATTTCCTTCATTAGCACTGTAATAATGACCTTTTAGGCTTAATTATTAGCTGGTTTTAGTTAATAAACTAGAATATTCCCCAATAAGTGCCATAATTAATATGGATATCACTTTCAGTTTAGAATAGAAGGTCAAATTGTTTTTATTAGCACTGTATTAATGACCTTTAAGGCGTAATTATTAGGTTTTCTTAATCAATAAACTTGAATATTCCACAATAAGTGCCAAAACTAATGTGGATATCACTTTGAGTTTACAATAGTGTCCTTCATTAGCACAGTATTTATGACGTTTTAGCCTTAATTATTAGCTTGCTTTATTTAATAAACGTGATTATGCCTCAATAAGTGCCATAATTAATGTTGATTTTACTTTCACTTCAGTATAGAGAGTCAAATTTCCTTCATTAGCACTGTATTTATGACCTTTATAAATGTGGATATAACTTTAGAACATGAGATTAAACTGTGTTTATTACACTATTTCAGCTATAAATAATTACAAACCAGCAGTAATTAAACATAATTAGTAGCTTGTTGTTCAGTTAACTTACAAAGTGACTGAAGGAAATAATATATGGTGTATTAAACTGTAAATAATGGTTAAAGTGCCTTTACTATATGTTCAGTTATTCGTGAATGATGTGTTTGCTCATGCTGAACTGATGCATAACTCCATCAGTTTCCTTCAGCGTAGTTCCTTTGTTCTCCACAGTGGAATGAACCGCCAACTATTCCAGCATATGTTTAACATATGTGCAGCCCAGTACTGGGAAATGACGCATAAATGTGAGCTAATCATGATTTAACTAAGCTTAACTAATGCATAATTCGAGACCCTTAATATGTTAACCATTAATTACCAGTGCTCTTGTTTTTGACTATGAGCTGTTAATTAATGCTTAACTAATGCATTATTTTGGACCCTTAAATTAAAGTGACTGATGCTAAACACTGTAATGTTAGGCACAGACTGTTTCACAGCTCATTATTAGATTAAAATGTCCCTCATTTAATCTATATACAGTCTATATGAGTCAGAATTATTCGCCCCCTTTGATTTTTTTCTTCTTTTTTTAATATTTCCCATATGATGTTTAACAGAGCAAGGAAATTCTCACAGCATGTCTGATAATATTTTTTCTTCCGGAAAAAGTCTTACTTGTTTTATTTCGGCTAGAATAAAAGCAGTTTTTAATTTTTTAAACATCATTTTAGGGACAATATTATTCGCCCCTTTCAGCTGTATTTTTTTTTCGATAGTCTCCAGAACAAACCATCGTTATACAATAACTTGCCTAATTACCCTTACCTGCCTAATTAACCTAGTTAAGCCTTTAAATGTCACTTTAAACAGTATAGAAGTGTCTTGAGGAATATCTAGTTAATTCAACAGAAATTGGGGGATAAAAATAGGTGGGGTCTAATAATTCAGGGGGGCTAATAATTCTGACTTTAACTGTATATCATTTGTTTTGTTTGTCTAAAAAAATTCAGATTTTAATAAAAAAATTATATTTACACACACTTTGATAGGACAGCATCGTATATTTGATCTATTTCTGCATCTAATATTTCATATGAACTTGTCCTGGCGTGCACCGAAAAACAAAAGAAAAGATAAACTCTGCAATAAATAATAAGTTAAAGATTGTCTGCTGCAGGAGTTGAATTAGAGTGACCGGATCACTGTTAGTGATGTGAAGAAGTGGCTTTAAATGGTTTCCTCAGCAAAAAAATATCAAACCGCAAACACAAAAATGCACCTTAAATCTGTACAACAACACAGAATCTCTCGCTGCTGCTGACCCAAGAACAAATCCGAATAAAAGCTTGCATATTTTACACAAAAATAAGACACATGTTCAACGTTCTCTTTTTTTCATCCTCCCATAGTAAAGAATCGGTCGTTAACAATGAGCGCGGCGGTGTTTCCTCACCTCCTCCTGATCCTGCTGACTCTTGAGGCTTTTATTCCTGTTATTCAGTCTCCGCTGTGGGCTGAGTGACTCCTCAACACAAGATGAAGGATGAGTGTCTGTGTTGTGTGTGTGTGTGTGTGTGTGTGTGTGTGTGTGTGTGTCCACAGCGGCTCCTCCATCCGCAGCACACACTGCAAAATCACATCCAGCAACATATACTCAGTAGCATATTCATTGGATATTTTCAGCATCAAACTAAACCTTGACTTCTAGCTGATCATTTGGAGAAGTGTCAGGAGGTGGATTTATCTCTGGGGATCTGCATCCCAATCATCACAAATACTGCAGAAGACCCACATGGAGCAAAGATTCACACAGAAATCAGTCAAGTTTGGTGAAGGAGAAATCATGGTTTGGGGTCACATTCAGTATGGAGAGATCTGCAGACATTTACAGCCTGAGGTATCAACACATTTGTGCTGCCAAACCAAAGGAGAGGGACAATTCTCCAGCAGGATAGCGCTCCTGCTCATACTTCAGCCTCCACATCAAAGCTCCTGAAAGCAGAGAAGGCCAAGCTGCTCCAGGATTGGCCAGCCCAGTCACCAGACATGAACATGATTGAGCATGTCTGATGAAGATGAAGGAGGAGGCGTTGAAGATGAAAACAAAGAGTCTTGATGAACTCTGGGAGTCCTGCAAGACCTTACTGTCCTAATCAAATCATTAATAATCAAGGCATGATCAGATTTTATTGTGCTCAAATAAGCAAAATCTAGAGGCCTTTTCCTTTCATATAAGCCACTTCTGATAGCAAATGATCATCTAGAAGTCAACTTATTATGTTCCTAAAACATGGAAAGGCCACAAGACTTTTGTCAGGTAGTGTGTGTGTGTACAGTTGAAGTCAGGATGCCATGTCTGAGTGTGTCAGTCTTACGGTAGCTTCATTTGCTGTGTTGATAGGAGTAGTTGTTGTGTTCTGCTGCTGTGTCGATGGTGATCTGCTGCTGCTGCTGTCCACTGTTCTCCTGCACGACACACAACACCATCAGCAGACATCTACACTTATCACTCATATTATTAGTAGTATTAATATTACTGTTATTTTTATTATTAGTGGCATATTGCAATCATGACTCTTCAGGTGTGTACCACCACCTACTGTTTCAGAGTCAGCAGCATTGACCACATTTCACACAATCTACTTTATTGATTTAAATACATGAATAAATAAATATTTGTGCACTTCATTATTTTGTAAACATTCATATGCTCTAATTATATTTGATCAAAAAGACGAAACCCTCCCCATCAAAACTACTTTCTTCACCTCTGATCACATGGAATGCCCTAGAGTGGGGCTATTAGTCCTTAAAGGCAGGGTTACTGGTCATTTAGGGCGGGACTATCAGTCATTTAGGGCGGAGCTTTCATTCATTTAGGGCGGAGCTATCAGTCATTTAGGGTGGAGCTATCATTAATTTAGGGCGGGGCTATCAGTCCTTTAGGACGGAGCTATCAGTCATTTAGGGCGGAGCTATCAGTCATTTAGGGCGGGGCTATCAGTCGATTAGAGTGGAGCTATCAGTCCTTTAGGGCGGAGCTATCAGTCCTTTAGGGCGGACTATCAGTCCTTTAGGGTGAAGCTATCATTCATTTAGGGCGGAGCTATCAGTCATTTAGGGCGGAGCTATCATTCATTTAGGGCGGGGCTATCAGTCCTTTAGGGCGGACTATCAGTCCTTTAGGGTGAAGCTATCAGTCATTTAGGGCGGGACTATGAGTCCTTTAGGGTGGATCTATCAGTCTTTTAGGGCAGGACTATCAGTCATTTAGGGCTGAGCTATCATTCATTTAGGGCGGGACTATCAGTCCTTTAGGGTGGGACTATCAGTCCTTTAGGGTGGAGCTATCAATCATTTAGGGTGGAGCTATCAATCATTTAGGGTGGAGCTATCAGTTATTTAGGGCGGAGCTATCAGTCCTTTAAGACAGAGCTATCGGACATTTAGGGTGGAGCTATCAGACAATTAGGGCGGGACTATCAGTCCTTTAGGGTGTAGCTATCAGTCATTTAGGGTGGAGCTATCAGTCATTTAGGGTGGAGCTATCAGTCATTTAGGGCAGGGCTATTGATCATTTAGGGCGGGACTATCAGTCCTTTAAGACAGAGCTATCAGTCATTAAGGGTGGAGCTATCAGTCCTTTAGGGCAAGGTTTTTGGTCATTTAGGGAGGAACTATCAGTCCCTTAGGGTGGAGCTATCAGTCATTTAGGGCAGGGCTATCAGTCCTTTAGGGTGTAGCTATCAGTCATTTAGGGTGGAGCTATCAGTCATTTAGGGTGGAGCTATCAGTCATTTAGGGCAGGGCTATTGATCATTTAGGGCGGGACTATCAGTCCTTTAAGACAGAGCTATCAGTCATTAAGGGTGGAGCTATCAGTCCTTTAGGGCAAGGTTTTTGGTCATTTAGGGAGGAACTATCAGTCCCTTAGGGTGGAGCTATCAGTCATTTAGGGCAGGGCTATCAGTCCTTTAGGGCGGAGCTATCAGTACTTTAGGGCAGAGCTATCAGTCATTTAGGGTGGAGCAATGAGAGCATGTCTTTCTGCTCTGCTTACATCCACTCATCAATATTTCTTCCTTTTGTTAGCAATACCCATTTTTTTAAAAATTAAACAATTCCTGAAGTAAATCCTGCACCACCGTACTTTTTTTTTTCTCTTTTCAGGACCATTTCAATTGGATGTAACAATATGGGGAAAAGAACAATCTTAACTATTGTTTTATGACGATTTTAAAACGGACACCTCTCTTCTATTCACACCCTGTGCTCTAATATGTTTCTGTACACTATATAATAGTTCTCCATATTCCATATGTCCTGTCCTTTCTTCATATATTTTTTAATTAATGCCTTAGTTTCCACAGTATTGCTGTCCTTCATTTTTTTTTTACTAATTAGTCTTCAAACACTGAAGGCTGAAGAGCCACAGAAGCGGGTCATACCTCTAATGAGACACTAGAGGGAGGCACTGCGGTGAACTGAGGGATATAGGTGCCCTGCAGAGCTGCGTTCGGGATATACTGAAGAGAAAAACACAAGACCGGCATCACTTTTACATTCACACACACAGATCAGCATCACAAACTCTTCAGACGGACTCACACTGTGCCGTTATTAAAGTCCACCTCAATCAAAAGTCAATTCTCTGGAGATTTATCCCAGTAGGATGACGCATTTCCAACAGAAACTGAATATTAAGTAGTGGGCGGGGGTTTTATTTATTGCACTCCTCCTCTTCTCTTTGCTATTCCAGTGCACAAGCACATCGGTTTATTAAAGTTCTTAATATTCAATGCACTCTCAATTCTTCAATGCCATTATCAGTCTCACACTATTGTTTTCCTCTTTCTGAAAGGCTTGATAACACCATTGCTGAGTTTTTGTGTCATTACTTCAGCAAATAGGATTGTAAAATAATGATTTGTTGTTCTCTCCTATTCACTGTGCTCTGAGTTTACCCAACTATGATGACTGAGAAAGCTGGAAATGTGAAAAGGGTCTATTTCTGCATTTATTTTAGATGAGCACAGTGTGAGCCAAGCTTTATTGAGGTAAATCTCCAACCGTGCCGGTGCTGCCGAGGGACAGGTGACTCAGCTGCTGGGTCAACGGCCCCATCATAGACGAGGACTGGAGGGACATTTGGTGATCCAGAGCCTGGGTCAAAAGAGCACCCTGTACACATGATCATAAACACAGTCAATATGCCAAGTTATTAGGTAATAAGGCAAGTCATTGTATAACAGTGGTTTGTTTTGTAAACAATCTAATATAAATATTGCTAAAAGGGGATAATAATATTGACCCTAAAATGGCTTTAACATTTTTTAAAACTGCTTATATTCTAGTCGATATAAAACAAGTAAAACTTTCTCCAGAAGAAAAAATATTATAGGAAATACTGTGAAAATTTCCTGAATCTGTTCAATATCATTTGGGAAATATTTGGCAAAGAAAATAAAGGTGAATAATCTTGACTTTAGCTGTATGTGAAGTAAATAGAAAGAAACTCACTGTGGGCTGCATGAGGTACGACTGATGATGCATCCAGGACGGGCTGTGCATCTGTGGATCAAAACAAATATATATGAGCGATTCCAGCGTTATGGATGCGACATTTGCAGCAAAAACACAAAAGATAAATTCACATGGAAAGTATACGTTAGCATTATATTGAAACTTCTGTTTATATATTAACAACTGACCACAGAGTAAAGAGAGCAGAAAAATCAATCTATAAACATGTTTTGTACTTTAAATGAGGAAAATAAACAAGCGTTGTGGATGTGACAAAAAAAGTCTCCAGGTTTACAGTATACAACATACTTTGTAGAGATTATGTGAATTAAACTGCACAACCCAAAAGAAACGATGATAATCAAAAGGATAAGAGTTCTCTTTATAATACAACCATGACTGACTTCATTTTTATTTAATATTTTCACATTTATGAGGAAAAAGCTTTGTTATGGATGTGACATCCCTCCGTTATGAATGTGACACACAGGGCCGGAGTGCGACTCCTTTTCAGCCCTGGAGTTTCAAGTCTCAGACCGGCCCACCTCAGTTCACGACTGACTATATTTCCAATTCAGCTTCTAATGACACGATCACGTCTTTTTCAAGAAAACAGTTGCTTTAGAATTTCAAATATTCAACAACCCTAACAGTATTAAATGTCTGAACAATAAATATAATTAAAAAAAAGAAGAAATGATAATGATTTCTCTAGTAAGGTTCGAACACCGGTCTGCCATGTGGCAACGTAACGTGCTGACCACTCGACCACAATAGCACTGTTGCGATAGTGCCAAAGTTGTGTCGGATTTATTAATGTAATCATCTGATTTTCATTGAGCAGGAGTAATAATCATTAATATTAATTATTCGAATTCTTATAGTCACTAAGGTGCCGCTGTTTGGGGTTGGATGATAGTTACATCATCATTAACCTGCAGGCTGCATTTTGCTTACGGGGCTGCGAGAAAATAAATAAAAAGAGCGGAGCTGCGGCGAAATAATGAATAAAAAGTAAGGCTAAGGTCAAATAATTAAATAAATGAAAAAAGTGCGACTGCAGAGAGTGCAAGCAGCTACGGACACCGGCCCTCGCGGCCAAAAAACGGACCGGCCCACTGGGAATTCTCCTGGTCCTCCCGATTAAGCAATCCGGGCCTGATGACAGATGTGAAATGTGAAATATTTTAGTTTGAAAACATTGACAGATGCATTTTTGAGTATTTTAAAGCACTGTAAAATACTTTCTTACACAAAAAACCCACAAACGGTTTCAGTATTTTGGTAAAAACGTAATTTTTTTCATGGCAAAGTTGACATTTGCAAGGCATTGCTCATATACAGTGCTCAGCATATACGAGTACACCCCTATTGAAAATGAATATCGCAACAAAACTATATATTTTTTGCTTCTCTTAATTTTTCCTATTTTTGAAAATGTTATATAATATTTCCCTAACATATACATTTGGGCTACTCATTTTTGAACCAATATCTCATCTCATTTTCATCTACTTTTAGGAGAGAACCCTAGACTTCCCTCTCCCCAGACACTTGCTCCAGCTCCTCCGGGGGGATCCCGAGGCATTCCCAGGCCAGCTGAGAGTCATAGTCCCTCCAGCATGTCCTGGGTTTTCCCGAGGCCTCCTCCCGGTGCTCATTTATTAGAGAAGAAAAACACCACAGTGGCAAATCCCAATGCATCAAACTCCACTACTCTGACTGATATCTGCTCCAGTTTATGAGAAAGTGAGGATTTTATTCTCTTCGACTCACTGGATGTAAACGCTGCTTTATTTGCAAATATCCAATGCGATATTCCAGTTTTGCACACTAATCTTTGGATGGAAACACAGCTGGGGAGAGCTGCTGTAATGCTGATGTGAATGATCTGACCTGGTAGGACGGAACTTGTGAAGGCATGTATGGAGACAGAGACGTCTGAGCGATCATTCGGTTTGGACCAATGCTGTACGGCGATGAATAAAACCTGAAATCAGTACAGAAACATTAGTGCAGGTAAATAAAGTACAACTAAATCAATCCAGCTCTCCTGCACAGATGCAATCGCTTTATATGAAGGTTTAAATGCTGAACAGAAACTCAAGTGTGTAAAATCCTGAGAGAATCAGCCATTATGACTATAAAATACACAGTAAATGATGGGATTTTTATTTTTTGCATCAACTAAATTTGTAATCAGAACAAATCTGAAGCGAAAGTGAATCTACTGTGTGTTTTTAATATAAATGTGCACCTTAAAAGGGAGATTTCATGTGTTTTTTGTGCTGTTTTTCTGCACTCACCCGTTCTGTAAAGCTGTCGGGTCGTATGTGAGCGTCATTCCTCCCTGAAGAAGGAAAGAATTCTTATTTTACAGTGCATCAGTCTCACAATGTTAAACTAAAAATACATTGAATGAAGATGCAGATGTTTTGAAGTGATGAGGTGAATGTTTCTGTATTCTATTTCCTCTTCTAAGTGCTGCCGTTTTTCTATATGCACACATATTTACATATCATACACACCACAAGGGAGAGATAGAGAGCACATGGACACTGCTCAGTGGGACATCTGAAGAAGCTGGAGAAGCACATGGAGTAGCAGGTTGCCAAATCTACCTTTTTTTGTGTGTGTGTGTGTGTGCTAAGGACAATAGTTATCGTGGATTTTCTCTTTTTGGACTCATTAGGCCCCATTCACACAGGGCTTCAGCGTCATTGCTTGACAGAGGGCGTGTCTGAAGTTGGGGCTGATGCGATCATCATAGCAGCGTCAGCCAATGAAACTAGTCAGCAATAGGCCACTTTCTGAGCTGGTGTATTTGCATACAGCGATCTGATTGGCTGATGCTTCCGTCAGCGCTTAAAAAGTTGAGCAAATCCCAACTCCTGCAGCGAGCAACGGCTGTGAAGCGGCGCCGACGGATCCACAATGCAGTTCGGCAATGCCTGACGTCACCCATTCAAAGTGAATGGGAAGTGTTGACGCTGACGCCCCGTGAGAATAGGGCCTTAGGCTTGCAGAACTGCATTATAAAGACTATCATGCAGCAACTATACATGGTACGAGTTATCCGGATTTTTTTGGTTTTTTTATCCGGAACTTTTTGGTGAGAGCAATCCATTTTGCACGCACACACATCCACGGACTTTGGACTTTGCACACACATACATACACACACACCCTCACACACACACGGGATTCACCTTTCATGTATTGTGTTAATTTATTATTGTTGTTTGTGTTTATGTTTGATTGTAAGGACATTTTCAGAGAGCTTTGTAAATTAAATATATAAAAAGATTCTCTCATCAATCCATGATCAAATTGAAAACAGCCCTGCTGAAAAATCCAGCTTAAACCAGCCTAAGCTGGTTGGCTGGTTATAGCTGGTCAGCCAGGCTGGTTTTAGAGGGGTTTTGGCCATTTCCAGGCTGGTTTCTAGCCATTTTCAGCCTGGTCTTAGCTGGTCAGGCTGGGAGATGACCAGCTAAAACCAGCTTGACCAGCCTAGCCAAGCTGGAAGTCTAGCCAAAACCAGCTATGTCCAGCTTACACCAGGCTGGTCAAGCTGGTTTTAGCTGGATTTGGCTGGTCATTTTCTAGTCTGACCAGCTAAGACCAGGCTGGAAATGGCTGGAAACCAGCCTGGAAATGGCCAAAACCCCTCTAAAACCAGGCTGGTCGAACAGCCAACCAGCCTAGACTGGTTTAAGCTGGATTTTTCAGCAGGGAGGAACTAGAGAATTGAACCATTTTTATTTTTAATCTTGTGTATCCCGCTGATTTAAAGACGAGCGTTACAAGTGTGTTGTTAAGTCACGGAGTTACAATGTAACCTGCTCACCTAATGTTTACGCTCGTAATATTTATATAGGGCGACGCAGTGGCGCAGTAGGTAGTGCTGTCGCCTCACAGCAAGAAGGTCGCTGGTTGAACCTCAGCGTTTCTGTGTGGAGTTTGCATGTTCTCCCTGCGTTCGCGTGGGTTTCCTCCGGGTGCTCCGGTTTCCCCCGCAGTCCAAACACATGCGGTACAGGTGAATTGGGTAGGCTAAATTGTCCGTAGTGTATGAGTGTGTGTGTGAGTGGATGTTTCCCAGAGATGGGTTGCAGCTGGAAGGGCATCCGCTGCGTAAAAACTTGCTGGATAACTTGGTGGTTCATTCCGCTGTGGCGACCCCGAATTAATAAAGGGACTAAGCTGACAAGAAAATGAATGAATATATATATAATTTGCTCATTAATAACCTCATGTGGAACTCTGAATCTGCGTCTCATTTCAGAGTCACACAACAGAATGAACCGCCAACTTATCCAGCATATGTTTTACACAGTGGATGTCCTTTTAGCTGCAACCCATTACTGGGAAAGCCAAGGCAACCCGTGGTGCTGAAATTTAATTGGCTAAACTGGCATTGGGCAGGTTAAAAGAACCAAAACAAAGACCGGCAGTAACGCTGACACGTAACGCACATGTTCAATACAGAATATCTGACTTCAGCATTGCTTTTTAGATTCACTTATCATGTTTCTTAAATATCTGCAAACCTATTATAGTATTTTTATGCATTAGAAGAGTCAAAACTAACATACAGCAACTTTAAATATGCGTCAATGTTAAATATACAGGGTGTGCAACACATATACAGGGTATTAAAACACAGATACCGTATCAGCGTCTCTAGTCCAGGATCGTCCGTTCTGCAGGTATTTGTTCTGATTCTGTCGCTTCTTTTGTCCTCCATCTGCAAACTTGCATAGCAGCGGTTCTGTAGGCACTAAAGTCATTTATTTATTTATTTATTTATTTATTTTTAGATATGTATTCATGTTCTCATCAATTCTCTATACAATAATTAAACACATTTAGATGATCTACCTGGAACTCCTGGTGGGGTTTTGATATATTTTCCATTAAAATGCTGAATAATAGCTTCACATTTCTCTGTGGACTCCATCCTGTGGTACACACACATTCACAAACACAGACATGTGGCTGTGGAAAATTCTTTGATAGCAAATTAAACTCCAGCGGGATGTGTGTGTGTGTGTGTGTGTGTGTGTGTGTGTGTGTTGTGTACCTTGCGAAGCCCACTCCTCTGCTTGTGCCGTTAGCGTCTCGCAGGATGCGTGTGGAGATCACCTGGCCGAAAGACTTCAGCATGGCCTCCAGCTCCTGCTCGTCCATCGACACCGGCAGATTGGAGATGTACAGGTTTGTGGGATCCTGCTCCTGTTGCTGGACACACACACACAGCAAGTTCAGCTCAGGAATGCCTTTAGGGTGGGGCTATCAGTAATTTAATCTGTGGCTATCAGTAATTTAATCTGTGGCTATCAGTAATTTAATCTGTGGCTATCAGTAATTTAATCTGTGGCTATCAGTAATTTAATCTGTGGCTATCAGTAATTTAATCTGTGGCTATCAGTAATTTAATCTGTGGCTATCAGTAATTTAATCTGTGGCTATCAGTAATTTAATCTGTGGCTATCAGTAATTTAATCTGTGGCTATCAGTAATTTAATCTGTGGCTATCAGTAATTTAATCTGTGGCTATCAGTAATTTAATCTGTGGCTATCAGTAATTTAATCTGTGGCTATCAGTAATTTAATCTGTGGCTATCAGTAATTTAGGGCGGGGCTATCAGTAATTTAGGGTGGGGCTATCAGTAATTTAATCTGTGGCTATCAGTAATTTAATCTGTGGCTATCAGTAATTTAATCTGTGGCTATCAGTAATTTAGGGTGGGGCTATCAGTAATTTAGGGCGGGGCTATCAGTGATTTAGGGCGGGGCTATCAGTAATTTAATCTGTGGCTATCAGTAATTTAGGGCGGGGCTATCAGTGATTTAGGGCGGGGCTATCAGTAATTTAATCTGTGGCTATCAGTAATTTAATCTGTGGCTATCAGTAATTTAATCTGTGGCTATCAGTAATTTAGGGTGGGGCTATCAGTAATTTAATCTGTGGCTATCAGTAATTTAGGGTGGGGCTATCAGTAATTAATCTGTGGCTATCAGTAATTTAGGGCGGGGCTATCAGTGATTTAGGGCGGGGCTATCAGTAATTTAGGGTGGGGCTATCAGTAATTTAATCTGTGGCTATCAGTAATTTAGGGCGGGGCTATCAGTGATTTAGGGCGGGGCTATCAGTAATTTAATCTGTGGCTATCAGTAATTTAATCTGTGGCTATCAGTAATTTAGGGCGGGGCTATCAGTGATTTAGGGCAGGCCTATCAGTAATATAGGGTGGGGCTATCAGTAAATTAGGGCGGGATATCAGTAATTTAGGGTGGGACTATCAGTAATATAGGGTGGGGCAATCAGTCATTTAAGGTGGGACTATCAGTAATTTAGGGTGGTACTATCAGTCCTTTAAGACAGAGCTATTAGTCATTTTGGGCAGGGCTATCAGTCCTTTAAAGTGGGCAATCAGACCTTTAGGGAATGCCTATCAGGCCTTTAGGGCGGAGCTATTAGTCTTTTTGGGTGGAGCTATCAGTCTATTAGGGTGTGGTTATCAGTCCTTTAGGGTGTGGCTATCAATCCTTTAGGGTGGGGCTATCAGTGCTTTAGGGTGGGGCTATCAGTGCTTTAGGGTGGGGCTATCAGGGCGTATGTCTTTCTGCTGCCTTTATCTATTCATCAATCTTCGTTTATTTTGTTAGCTACGCCCATTTTTCAACAATCCAATCAGTCCCTGAAGAACGAAACCATGCACCGCCCTCCATAATTTCCTCATTTCAGGACTGTTTCAATTTGATGTAGGTCAAAACATGGGGAAAAACGACAATCTTAACTTCAGTGTCATGGCGACATCCAAATGTAAGGAATAAAACATGTTAGCAATCTTTATCTTTCAGCCTATCCATTTGATTTTACATTTTGTCACATGTTTAAATACATATTTTTAGTGCAGTGTTAATTATTATTTTTAAAAGCAAACAGTAAGTGGACGTACTAGTTTGGGTTCTGCTTCTGTGCACTTCACCATCACAGTAACGTGCAAATAACAGCGCTCCTAAATAGACTTCTTATTCTTCAGGAGGATGCAATTATAATTACATTCGGTAACACTTTAGATAAAGTAAAAATTCATATTGTTTACTACTGAATAATTACCTGCCCATCATTAAGTAATTTGCTGTTTATTAGCACTAATTAAGTATGATCTTATTTTCCATTCCTAATCCCACCCAATGCCTAAACCCAGCTCCTGCCTCACTAATAAGCAGATAATGAGGAGTTCACTGAGCGCAAAGTCTCAGTTAAAGGTTTGTTAATGAAATAAATTGTATATTGAAATAAAGTGTGACCTTAAATTAGAAGTGAAGCCATAATCTGTTCAATAAATGACTCATACATTCATTTTCTTGTCGGCTTAGTTCCTTTATTAATCTGGGGTCGCCACAGCGGAATGAACCGCCAACTTATCCAGCAAGTTTTTACGCAGCGGATGCCCTTCCAGCCGCAACCCATCTCTGGGAAACATCCACACATACACACACACACACTACAAACAATTTAGTCTACCCAATTCACCTGTACCACATGTGTTTGAACTGTGGGGGAAACCGGAGCACCCGGAGGAAACCCACACGAACACAGGGAGAACATGCAAACTCCACACAGAAACGCCAACTGAGCCGAGGATCGAACCAGCGACCCAGCGACCTTCTTGCTGTGAGGCAAACGTGCTACCCACTGCGTCGCCTCAATAAATGACTGTTTAATAAAAAAGAAGTAGTTTTACGTTTATTCTCCTCTACTGTAGTTCAGATATATCTAAAGCATACAGAGGCCTCCGTTTGCTCTTTCAGTGTAAAGTTCAGTAGTTCACTAAGGATGTATATCCTGCATTTCTCACTGTGTGCGTGTGTGTGTGTGTTTAAAGTGTGTGTTTGCATATGATCCTCACACACTGCCTGTGTGTCGGACAAAGAGGATTCTAGGAAACAAAGAGGATCGACTTCAAAAGACAAAACAACAGATCGACTGATACTCACACAGCAGAGGAACGGCAAACAATGACATGAAAAATGCCAGAGAAAAGACTCAGAACGCCAACACACACACTCACACACACCTCTGTCCAGTCAAATATGGGTCACAATCTTATCACAGGGTATACACAAAGTTTCTGTGTATGTGTGTGTGTGTGTGTGTGTGTGTGTGTGTGTGTGTGTGTGTGTGTGTGTGTGTGTGTGTGTGTGTGAATAGGAAATCGCAAGCTCAGAAATGCATTTAAATCGTGTTACACACTACATGGAAGGTAAAAACCCATGACAGAGGTTCTTTAAAGAGTAATGAAACCCCCCTCGTCTCAGCAGGGTTTTTTTACACCTCTAGTTTAAAAAAAGGAGTCGGCGCCAATAGCCTAGTGGTTAGTGTGTCGACACATAGCACCGAAGTGCTCGCCGTGACCTGAGTTCGATTCCCGTCTCGAGGTCCTTTGCTGATCCTTCCCTTATCTCTGCTCCCCACACTTTCCTGTCTCTACATCTCCACAGTCCTATCAATAAAGGTGAAAAACCCCTAAAAAACAATTATAAAAAAAAGTCAGGAAAGTGGGTGAGTCCAGCTTTGTTTAGGTGGGAGTGTCGAGTGGCGAAAGAGGGAAGGGCTTGCATTAAAATATGGAGATTCATTAAGGGCGTAAAAGCACCTGACTGGTTCGAACCAGCTCTTACTCATGATTTAAAGCACAGACACGCTGAAACTCAGTGACATCACTGTACTGCTGGCCAATCACCACGCTGAAATTTATGCAATGACCTCATTGTCATGACTTTGGTTCAAAAAAAATTTAAACCGTAAAAACGAATTGGATTTAAACAACGCAAAAACGATACACACTCACCGGCCACTTTATTAGGTACACCTGTCCAACTGCTGGTTAGTGCATATTTCTAATCAGCCAATCACATGGCAGCAGCTCAATGCATTTAGGCAGGTAGACATGGTCAAGACGATCTACACACACGCCAAATCAACATTGAGATTGTGAGAATTGTACACGGCGTCCTCTAGTGGATTTGTGACAGCAAAACCTGCACGCAGACTTGGCCAGGGCACTGATTTTATCCTCAATGCTTCCAAATGGTTGTGTATTTCTCTAATATGTTCTCTTACTTTGGCCATTTGAGCTTGAACACCGGTGGACTTCAGCGCGGTCACGGCCTTCTGTGCTGCTGCAGGACTGTCGAAATCCACAAAGCCATAACCTAAACACACACACAAACACACACAAGCATAAATATTCAAACATGAGTACTTTTAAGCTCAAATACATGCAGTTAAAGTCTAAATTATTATAATATTTCAAATATTTCCCAAATGATGTTGAACAGATGCAGGAATTTTTCTCAGTATTTCCTATAATATGTTTTCTTCTAGAGAAAGTCTTATGCGTTGTATTTCGGCTAGAATAAAAGCAGTTTTTGATTATTTTAAGGTCAATATTATTAGCCCCCTTAAGCTATATTAGTTTTGGATTGCCTCCAGAACAATTTTACAATGACTTGCCTAATTACCCTATTTTTACCCTAATTAACCTAGTTAAGCTAGTTAAGGGTGCTTTCACACTTGGTTCAATTGCCTGGACCGTACCCCAATTTCGATTTCCCCCCATACCACCTTCTCGGTTGGTTTGTGTTTACACTGTCTTCTTCCTTCTGAACCCCGGTACGCTTGCGTCATCAAGCAGCTGTTGTGTGTACGGCTGTTGCCAGGTGACGAACATGAAAGTAAGGGTGCTTTCACATCTGTAGTTCGCTTCATTTGGTCCCGACCAAGGGTAATAAATGATCATTGTTGCATCTTCTGCCGTCTTTGGGTCGTTTTCACACCACACTGCTGGCTTTGGTCCAAACCAGTTGAAACAAACCAAAATGCAGTCATCTGACAAAATCCACATCTCTCATTGGCCAGATGTTGTTGAACATATTTCCTAAACTGCTTATTGATTGGTCAGAATTCACGTGCAGGAAAATGTCAATGAACTCCCGCAGGTAAACAAAACCGGCAGACACAAAATGTCGTTTTTACTCTGCAAGGACGACTGCGCTGACTGATTGCATCCCTGCTTTAGACGAACTATACATTTCGAGAATGAAGCGCGGCAGGAAAACAGTGTTTAATGCTCGTCACTTCAGGAGGAGGCGTGAATTAATTTAGCTAAACTCCAACATGCTCATCTTGCGGAAATATTACCAACATCAGGTAATGTTTTCCCTCTCTCTCTCTCTCTCTGTTGGTAAAGCGCTGTCAACAAATATTTTTCCTCCATATCCCATAATGCACAGCGCATCGGCCTACGGCAGCTGGATTAGTCCAAAAGGCGCAGACCACAGTTGGACCTGTTTTAGTACGGATCATATTCTCACCATAAACAAACCTCTCCAGGGTTCGTTTGAAAGTGTACCGAGACCACCTCTTCAAGCAGGTCTCGATACGCTTATTTAATCCGCTTTTGGTGCGCACTCGAGTACAATTGCTGCATTCTCACCTGCCCAAACCAACCACACCAAAAGGGAAAACAAACTCTAGTGTGATTCAATCAAACTAAATGAGGCAGGTGTGAAAGCGCCCTAAATTGCCAAAATAGACAGACGTCCGCACATCGCGGTCAAACACTGTAAACTGCAAATCAATCCTCTGAGAACGTATTGATGTGCAGTTTCTCACCTTTGCATTTGTTGGTAGTTTTATCCAGAATGGCCTTGGTGGACACGATCTTTCCATACCTACAAAACACAAAAAACTCTGTTAAACGTCAGTCAGCGCCACATAACCTGTGAAACAGAGGTAAACAGTGAGGACTGCTGTAATAGTGATGGCACTGTTAGGACTTTCTTTTAATTCTCAGCCCTTTAAAATCTGTTTTTAATCATTTTTATTCTTTGATTTAGGGCGGCACGGTGGCTCAGTGGTTAGCACTGTGGCCTCACAGCAAGAGGATTGCTGTTTCGAGTCTCGGCTGGGTTAGTTGGCATTTCTGTGTGGAGTTTGCATGTTTTCCCAGTGTTGGCGTGGGTTTCCTATAGTGGAATTGATTAACTAAATTGGCCGTAGTGTATGAGTGTGTGAGAATGAGTGTGTATGGGTGTTTCCCAGTACTGGGTTGCAGCTGGGAGGGCATCCACTGCGTAAAACACATTCTGGAATAGTTGGCGGTTCATTTCGCTGTGACGACCTCTGAAATAGAGACTAAGCCGAAGGAAAATGATGAATGAACAGAAAAATCATTGGCTTTATTTACAAAAAAATGGATTTAAACATATTCATTTTCTAAAAGGGGTGCGCTCATTTATACTGTGTTTATTAAATGTATATTTTTATCACAATGTTTTTATTATATTTTTAAATACGTCTGTAATCATTTGTTTTATACTGTGAAGTCACTGGTGTTTGGCAGGCAGCGTGTTTTTGGCTCTGCTTCACAGGAGTACAGCAAGTGTCAGAACTAACACAAGACTAGCAGTTAATCCAACATGAGTCATTTCTACAGCATTTACTCAAGTAAACACACACACACACACACACACCACACACACACACACACACACACAGACACACACACACACAGACACACACACACACACACACACACACACACACACACACCACACACACACACACACAGACACACACACACACACACACACACACACACACACACACACACACACACACACACACACACACACACACACACACAGTGAATGTGTAATCAGACTCAATGCTGCTGTTTTATGTTCAAATTGAGGCGCCTGAAGACAAAAACTATTTGTTCTGGGTTTTTCTACACCACACCTGCTTGTCTGACTGTGTTTGTGTGAGTATCAATGTGTGTCTGTCTGTCTGTGTGCGTGCGTGTGTGTAGTTTTTTTTTTATTCTAAATTTTGAGTTAAACTTCTTTAGAAGCAATTAACAAAACACGAATTAAAGCAGGGACTGTACTATCACCTGTATTCCTGTAATATTATATGGGATATATAATATGGGATTTTATTATTTCTTAAATATTATTATTATTATTATTATTATTATTATTATTATTATTTCTAATAATATTGACTTTAAATTGTTTTAAAAATGTAAAAAATAAAATAAATAAATGAATAAACAAATAAAAATACACGTTTTTATTCAGCCAAACTAAAAGAAGACAAATATAATAGAAAATACTGTGAAAATGTCCTTGCTCTGTTAAACAGCATCTGGGGGCTGTTCCAGATAGCAGGTTATGTGACATACACGGGTAAGTTTGAGAGTAAGTAGGTGGATAACCTCAACTTTGGTTCCAAAATCGGAGGTAACTTCTGGGTATGTTAAGTAGCCATAGCAACTTACTCTCTGAAGATAACCTGCTCCGGAGCAGGTTATGTTCAGAGAGTAAGTTGCTATGTTTCAGAGTTTGTCTGTTTCAGAGAGTTTACTGAGCATTGCGTGCTCTTTTGATGAGAATATTTATGGATGTGGACACACAGATACAAGTTTTTTCGTTGTGAGAGGGTTATAAGTGCATAGTTTTTTTCATAACCAAATTCATAATGTTAATGTATTTAACAAACCTTTTTGAAATCAAATGTGACAAACCGCGGGTCTGCGCTTACCATAAAAAACATTTAGTGCAGCTCTTTGTATTCGCGTCAGGGCATTTTAGGCAACTGTACAATGTGGCAGTAGGACCACCTGTACAGTATGCCTGGCACTGAACTGTTTTTTACACTTTTGTACAGTTCCTTGGTCATAAATCACTGCGTATCATTACACAGATGGTTCAGAGCATGGGAATAGCATAGTGGACAGTGCGTCGATAAAGAACAACGGAGCGCACAACGGAGCGAGTTCGAATCTCACTTATAGATCTTGTGTTTTTTCTCTCCTTCTGCAACCTCACATTTTTCTGTATAATATTATAAGTGGCAGCTTTGTCTTTTGTAGGAAAATATATCTTTAATTTAAGATGTAGGACGTCAGTCTTATATATATATTCACGCACACACACCTACATTTTTTAATATAATATTTTTTTCAGGGTTTCTAAATGCTATTGTGTGCATTAATTGCAGCCGATTTTAAAGCTCCATCAGTCACTAAAGGACACTGATAATATAAAATTTGTCCAAAGTATAAGTGTGCAGGTACAACTTAATTTTCTATCCTTAATCTTTTGGTGTTTCAACTATTAAACTCATTACTGCTTCCACTTACCAGCTCATCACACACCCCACCTCATCACTATATGTTAGGGGTTAGGGTTAGAAGTAATGATTCAAGTGTATAACACAAATAGTGTAAAAAAAAAAAAAAAAAAACTATAAAGCAAATGTTGCTTAACACAATGTTTATTTTTATTATATTTGTATTATAAAATAGAATCATTACTGGGCACTATTGTTACTTGCTGGAGGACAAAAGATACCCTTTTCTGCCTTATACGATGACACGTACCTGCAGCCTGACCCAGAGGAAATCTCAGTGACCCAAGCAGACAAAACAGATGGAAGAGTGCTAAAAATATATAATTAGTCAAAAAACTATGTTTAATCAAATAGTTTGGTCTGTTCATTTCTTCATTTCCTGAAATAAAATGAATGATTTTGTACACTGCTTTATACACACACCTTTCAACGTGTAACATATTTTTCATATACATTTCTCACCTTAAGTTGATGCTCATGTGACTTTATCTTTGAAGATGGACCTTATACAGCTACTTTAGAATTTAAATATGTGGATAAAAGATTTTGTGATCCAAGAATAATATTCAAATATGGAAAAGTGCAGAATATTCTTACACTGCTTGTTAGTTGAGGCAGAAGGAACTTCGTCTGCATGCAAAATAAAAAGAACGTAAAGCTATCTGACAACAATCACTTACAACAGTGACAGAGTGTGTGGTTTAAGTCAAAAACTCAACCACTGAAAAGCCTTTATTATAGGAAACAGCAGTTAGACAGGCCTCTTTCTATTAGCTGCATGTCAGAAAGCATATTCTAGAGTGGTAAATAAAGAGCTCCAGTAACTAAATATTACCTTTTATGATAATGTTTCTGTGTTTAATGACTTTGGACAGAGTTCTAGCTCCAGAAAGATTACAATTTCTATAAGCCTTATTAGTCAACACATATATTGTGGCCTTAAGAAATTAATGGCAAGAAAAATAAATGCATGAATGGTTACACAACATACTCAAAAAGGATGTTAAAGAGTAGTTTAATTTATCATTACAATAAAATGGAGGGTGGCATGTGTAATTTAATGAACTAAAAAATTTTCTTATTATTTATTTTTTATTTTCTTATCTATTTCGTATTCTATATTTCTTTCCTTCGTTGAAGCAGATGTGTAATCTCTGTGTTTAAAACCTACAGCTTCGCCTCTGTAAAGTGCGTTGCCCTTTTTTTCTCACCGTGATTTTCTATGGTGACTCGTGAATTCGGCGATCTACTGAAAATGCCTTCAGGTGTGTGCCGTGCACGCGCATTAACCCGCGGTTATCTTCAGGAGGTTGATTTAACTAACTCTTGTCACCTGTTTTGGAACCAACATACTCGCGGTAAGCAGGTTTTGGGTAAATTAACCAAGAGTTTAGGTTTTAGCAGATGGTAAGTTAACCCAGCTTTCTGGAATACCCCCCTGGGAAATAAATAAACAAATAAATAAACAATAAAAAATATTCTTAAATTAAATTAATAAAAATATTATTTAAAAAAATAATAAATAATAATGAAAATTAAAATAAATAATTCAATAATTAATTCAATAAATAAGTAATAATAATAATTACAATAATAAAAATAATAATAAATGAATAAATAATAATTAAATAATAATAATAAAATAAATAATAATAATTATTATTATTTAATAATCAATTAAATAAATAGGTAATAATAATAAAAACAATAATAATAATAAATGAATAAATAAAATAATAATAATAATAATAATAATAATAATAATAATAATAATAATAAAATAAACAATAATAATAACGATAATAATAAATATTAATAATTATTATAATAAATAAATAAATAATAATATTTTTAACCTAAATAAACAGAAATAAAATGTTTTTTTGTTAAAAAAGTTAATTATTATAAACTGGACACCAGTGTAATCTGAAAACTTGCTTGCTTGTTTTCTAAATTAATTTGCATTTAACCAGATTATTGATGCACTAAGTAATTTCCCTCCTTAAGCACAATCTGCATACAAAAAACACATTGAGTACTATCTGTGAAAATACACAGTGTTAACTGCAGGATTATAAAACAGGCGACTGTCATCTGAATGTTTCCATAGCCTAAATATGGCAGCGCTGATGTTTGTGGAAAATTGGCATTAGATGTGCAGGTTTTTCTCTCAGAAGTGTTTGAGTTTTCTTTCGCAGAATCAGCATGTCAGCAGCTCTCTGTCCCACATCTGAACTGAACTGAAGAATGTGTCTGTTTAAACATTAATGACAGCCTCCAAACAAGAGCCGTCCTGACTTGCAGAAGACAAACCAGTTCTCAGCCTTCACAAATCTCACAATTTACACCATTTACTGACCTACTTATCCAGTAATCAAAGCCCAAACACTCATGTTCCACAGGATTAGCTTTGACTTGCAAAGTTAAAGAGATAGTTCACCCAAAAATAAACATTTTCTGTTCATTGACTCACCCACAGGTCATCCAAGATGTCCTTTTGTCTTCAATAGATCATTAAAGAAGATGTTTAACTGAACTTGTGGTGAGTCTTTTATCAGCAGTGAAGGAGTAGATTTAAAATAAATGCATTAAAACAACACAGGCTCATTGTAAATACGTACCCCTGTCTACATTTATAGAGAGCGCGAAATATGTACCCAGAGGTACGTCTGGCTGCATTTTGTCTGTAAAAAAATCCCTACGGGGTGATATGATGCCTCCGACGGCTTCTGTTCCTTTACTTGCTACAACCGACCGCTTACCTCCATGTGGACAGCTTTTCCAGTGTAATCAGTTTGCCCAATAGCTCGCCGCGTACACCGATGAACTTGAAAGACGGAGCGGAGTTGACTGCAATGACAGGTTTCAAGTGCATCGAAGAACGGTTCCAGAAACCAGGTAAAACAAAAGTGAACAATAAATAAATTAACAACAGGCTGAAAGCATGGTGAAATCACGCAGCTGCGACAGCTTTTCTTTTTCCAGATTGCTTTTGAAAACACTATCGGTTGGGTTCAGAGACGGGGTCGTGGGTCAGTCAGTCGACAACAAGCTGGCCCTGTTGGCTGAAGTGTACTCAAGTCTACATTTCTGGGGACAGTGAAATACGTAACCGGGGGTACGTCTGCTTGCAGTTTTTGTTTCTGCAAATCCACCAGAGGGTGCTGTACACGCTTTTTGATGATCATGAATTCCCTTGCGCGTCCTCTTCTTGCATAAATTCACCAGAGGGCGCAATATACACTTTAGCCGACAAGGCCAGCTTGCTGTCGACTGACCCACCCACACCGCCTTCCCTAAACCCAACCAATAGTGTTTTCAAAAGCAATATAGAAAAAGAAAAGTCATCGCGACCCCCTAATTTCATCATGTTTTCAGCCTGTTGTTTATTAAATAATTTATTTATTTATTATATTTTTACCTGCTTTCTGGAACTGTTATTGAACCTTGGACTTGAACCTTGTTTTCCCGGTCAACCCTACTCCACATCCCAAGTCCATCAGCGTACTCAGCAAGTCACTGGGCAAGCTGGTAATATTGCAGCCAGAAATGCACCTCTGGGTACATAATTCGCGCTCTCCAGAAATGTATATACGGGTATGTATCTACAATGAGCCTGCATTTATTTTATAAATCACCAAGGACCACAGATTCAACTCAAAAATCATCCTTAATATTCTACTGAAAGAAGAAAACACATCTTGGATGACCTGTGGGGGTGTAAATTGAAAGGAAACGTTGATTTTTTTGGGTGAACCATCCCTTTAAGAAGATTTTTAGCTAAATAAATAGACGTTCGCTGATGTTCAAAGTTTATAATAGACATTTTTACTGTCCACTCTCTGCATGGTCAATTAATAGGAAAATTTTCATTTTTGGGTGAACATTCCCTTTGAAATTAAATAAATGAAAAAAATAAATAAAATAAAGATCAATATATAATAACAAATATGGATCTTTTAGATAACTGTTAAAACGCATCACCATTCAGTTGTGCTTAATTTTCCAATAATTCAATAGAACAAGAGTCAATTAAGTCAATTATATTATAACATCTGAAATAAAGTCCCGTCGTATTGGCGGTTCATTCTGCTGTGGCGACCCCTGATTAATAAAGGGGTTAAGCTGAAAAGAAAATGAATGAATGAATGAGATCCTATTGCATTTTATACTAAATGGGATTTTTAAAAACCCAGAAATGAATGAAATCTATTGGTTTAAAGGATTTTGGGCAGTTGTGAGTCTTTTATGTGATCAAATAAGACTGACAAGATTTTACTGACAAACTATTGTTATAGTACAGTACAGTTAAGTACAGTATCCGCTTGTTAAGTGGTGACGTGTTGGTGACGTATGTAATACTGTTTCTGGGTCCAAGCCGCCACTTATTTGAGTGGAGAAATCATTCGTTTATGATCATGTTTTATTCCTATCACACATTAAAGTTAATTTTATATAGAATCATAGTGTACACAACAATCTCTGGGCTTGCTGCATCACAAATACCAAAAATTTAACAATTTATAAAAAAATAATCACTTTCTGGTCATCGGATATTAGGCATGGACATATATACTGCGATGGTGATTTTCGAAAGCCTTAAATCGCTTTGTAAACGTTTATTATTGCCATTTCAAGAGTCTCCCCATTCAGTTGAATAGAGCGCTTGGACCAGAAAGCCGCTTCGCGTGACGTCACACTTAACAAGCAGATTGTCTTCAGTACATTAATGTTACAATAACAATGATGTAGAGCTAAATTACTGCTACTAAACTTTCATTAAATATATAAAAATATTAGGTCAATCATTCTTATTTAATTATTTCCCAGATGATGTTTAACATTCATCTTCTGGAGAAAGTCTTGTTTGTTTTATTTTGGCTGGAATAAAAGCAGTTTTTAATTGTTTTAAAGGCATTTTAGGGTCAATATTTAACCCCCTTAAGCAGAACAAACCACTGTTATACAATGACTTGCCTAATTACCCTAACTTTACCCTAAATAACCTTTACAAGTTTCATTAACCTTAATGAGTTTCATGTCATCGTTTTCGAAAGCCGTGCCTTACATGAAAAAGCCCCCGAAAAGACAAACTAAACATGACAGACAACACAATCTCAATGAACACTTGATGCTGTAAACTACAAGCTGCATTATTTAAGGGCATTTGCTTTGACAATAATAGGATCTTCTGTTGTCAAATTTATGTTTCCTTTTTAATTTTAAGATATTTTCTTTGAAATTGTCCCTCATCAACATTAAAATAATCATCCTTTATATATTTAAAGGACATAATCACTGAGGTGAAATCAGATGTTCAGAACATACTGTTTAAAATAATACCCTACTTTAAGCTGAATACTAGTGTCTTGAAGAATATCTAGTCTAATATTATTTACTGTCATCATGACAAAGAGAAAATAAATCAGTTATTTTAACTATTATGTTTATAAATGTGCTGAAGAAATCTGCTCTGTTTAACAGAAATTGGAGGAAAAACATACAGGGTGGCTAATAATTCAGACAGTATAAACACTCGCACACTGAATTTAATTTTAATCACAGACCGAAATAAATTCTCTCATTTCTTCATCACAAGTCATCCGAGGTCAAGAAACTGAAGCATTTCCTTTCTGCCGCTCCTGTTTGATTAATGTCTCCTGAATTCACCCTCATGTTTCCTCTTTTCAACCGCAACTGGCTCCAGTTCAAACCTCGGAGCCGACTGTCGTTTGCGCAACAAAACACACCATGATGAAGAGATCTGCAGACTGTACACACATTATCAAGCAGACAGACTCACTGCGCTTATGTGTGCTTGTGTCCGGTCAACTTTACAGATCAAATGCTCAAAGCAATGGGTCTGCTGATGATTCTGAAACACTTTACTTGAAGAGGTGTTCATAAGACTGTCATGAAACCTTTATAATCAGGATGTGACACATTTGAGAGTTTATGCATGCTTATGACAAGTGTTATTAAGTGTCATTCAGTCTGTTATGTCATTTTAAGTGCAAAGATGATCTTGTTTGTTATGACAACTTGACATAAACAAATACTTCCCTACCTGCGTTTGTCTTTGTCATGAAAACTTCACATTTCAAAGACATCTGAACTTGTCATATATCCATCATAAACATGATTGTTGCTATTATAAATGTGTATAATGATGTTTTAGCTCATTAAAATCGTAGTTACAATCTGATTGACAAGCTTTAATCGTGTTATTAAATGGAGAAAATAACTGATAAAATGTAGTATTTTTTAAAACTAATATTAACATAGAATCTGAAATAAATCGGTTGATTTTAGTGCACTAACTAGGGTTTACTAATGAGACTTTAAAGCACAAATGACGAGAATTTGATGCACAAATGAAGCAAATTTGACGCACAAACGAAGCGGATTTAATGCACGAATGAAGCGAATTTGACACAAATGAAGCAAATTTGATGCATGAATGAAGCGAATTTGACGCACGAATGAAGCGAATTTGACGCACGAATGAAGCGAATTTGATGCACGAATGAAGCGAATTTGACGTACAAATGAAGCTAATTTAATGCATGAATGAAGCCAATTTGACGCATGAAGCAAATTTGACGTACAAATGAAGCGAATTTGACGCATGAATGAAGCGAATTTGACGCACAAATGAAGCGAATTTAATGCATGAAGTGAATTTGACGTACGAAGCGAATTTGACGTACAAATGAAGCGAATTTAATGCATGAATGAAGTGAATTTGACGTACGAATGAAGCGAATTTGACGCACAAATAAAGCGAATTTAATGCATGAATGAAGCTAATTTGACGAATAAAGCGAATTTGACGTACAAATGAAGCGAATTTGACGCACGAATGAAGCGAATTTGACGCACAAATGAAGCAAATTTAATGCATGAATGAAGTGAATTAGACGTATGAAGCGAATTTGACGTACAAATAAAGCGAATTTAATGCACGAATGAAGCGAATGTGACGCACGAATGAAGCGAATTTGACGCACAAATAAAGCAAATTTAATGCATGAATGAAGCGAATTTGACGCACAAATGAAGCAATTTCTTGACGTGCTAATGAAGTTAATTTGACGTGGGAACAAATCTAATTTGATGTGCTAATGAAGCAAATTTGACGCACGAATGAAGCAAATATGATGCGCAAAAGAATCGAATTTGAATGGCGAATGAATCAAATTTGATGTCCAAATGAATCGAATTTGACGTGCAAATAAAGTGAATTTGACGAATAAATTAAACAAATTTGATGCGCAAATTAAGCGAATTTGACGCACAAATGAAGTAAATTTGACATGCGAATGAAGTGAATTTGACGCATGAATGAAGCAAATTTGACACACGAATAAAGAAAATTTGATGCGCAAATTAAGTGAATTTGATGTGCAAATGAATTAAATTTGACTGCAAATGAAGCGAATCTGACGTATCGCAAATTAAAGGAACATTATTATCCTGAGACTTACGGCTGGCAGAGCTTCACCAAGTCCTGGTCAGTGGTGCCAGGATGAAGGCCGCGGATGTACAGGTTGGTTTTGCTGAGCTGTTCTCCTGCAATACTGCTGCTGCTACTGTTGGGACTGGACAGCGCCATCTGCTGGCTGGAGGACACATAGGCTTGCTGCTGAAGAGGGAAAACAAGGGAAAAGATGTTATTACTGATATAGAGAAATGAGACGGTGATCAAAATTAGTTTAATTTAAAACGATTGTACATATGTAGTAAAATCAATATGAAATTAGCACTTAAATTCATGTCTTGTGAAGAGATATGCTCATTTTATACAATGAATGCGTTTAATTTAGGCCTTTAAAGCAATTGTAACACATCAAGTTTACACTGAAGTCTTTATGATGTTTTTAGTGACCTGAGGCTTACAGTGGAGAGACAGACTTCTCAATCTCTGCCTGTTATTACAAAAATAGTTTCATTTGCTCTAAAAACAAACAAAACATTTGGCAGGTTTGGTAAAAAGTTAGTTTTAGGCCGTAGGTATTAGGTAATATATGCTTATTACACAGTTACTTGCCACAAAACTTATTTAATAATAAATAATAATATAATAATATAATTTGACACAAAACATTGTTCTGAGCTGTAATAGTTTATTAATTCTTTAATTAAACGCAAAGCTGATGGAAACTAAAACAGCTGATGGAGTATACACTAACCTGAACATTTTTCAGACACAAGATGAAGACAAACAGACAAAAATCACAAAGCTGACAGAAACGAAAACTGCTAATGAAGTATAGATTAAAACAGCAGCGTGACAGACAAGCAGACACACAGAATGTGGAGGTAAGCATTTGGATGTGAAAGTATTCACTGAGGGTCAAGGTTATTCTCAGTTTCCAGATGAGTGTGTTATTTAGCGGTTGTCAATCGGGAATAACTCAAGTCACAACTGACCAATCAGAATCGAGTATTCCTGACAGCTGTGCAAAAATACCAGATAACAACCCTTTCACCGACTGATAACAAGGGAAACAAGTGAAAATGCCACAGTGTCTATTGTTTGTTGTCCAAATAAATCAAACCATATATGTGAAAGCACCCTCAAACACAGCAGATAAATCTAGATCAGATATTTAGAGCATTGGGTCACATATAAGTGATCATTACACATTTACAGCCGTGTCCTAACACTGAGGTTAATCTGAAGAAAAAGTCAACTCACCCCCCAAAACCCCCACCACAATCATGTTGCAACATCCCATGCTTTCACACTCCTCTGCTCCTCAGTTTGTTGACTTAACCTTTCGTTTTCTCCATCCAATAACAACATTAAGCAACCTTCACATGCCTGCCAACACAAATGTGAAGGACAGCTCATCGTGTAGTTCATCCGGGCCTGAGTTTAAAGCGTGCGTGTTTCAGGCTGAGACGGAGAAATCAGGACACAGACACAGGTAATAAAGCTGTCAGAGAGCACCACACTGAGCCAAAACACTGAGAGGATGAAGACGAATGTACAGCTGAAGTCAAAATTATTCACCCTCCTGTGATTCAGGAATTTTTCCAACCCAGGCTCATTCTGAAAACGTAATCCCGTGGACGTTTCTGGAGACTGCGAATTACGTCGCGGGAGGTATGTATTTTTGCAGTTTTTGCGAATCCGCGAGAGGCCGCTGTGTGCGCTTATTCGTTTGTCTCTTGACTGCCGCTCGCGCATCAACCCACCAGAGGTCACTGTCGACTGACTGAATGATTGACTGGGTGACCGACCAATCGACTGACCCACCCTCCTCCTTCCCTAAACCCAACCAATTTTACAGACTGACCCGGCCACTCTCTTACTTCTCTAAACCCATCCAACAATTTACAAAAGCTGTCCAGAAAAAAGAAAAGCCTCCGTCTGATTTTTACAACATTTTCGGATTTCGGAAAACAGGCCATCAGTATTCTGTAAATCGATAGGTTCAAATATTCCTTCCCAGTTGTCAAAGAAATCATTTGTTCCTTAAGGGCCATGAAACCCCCTTGTTTCAGCAGGGTGTTTTCACACCTCTACTTTGGAAAAAGTCAGAAAAGTGGGCGTGTCCAGCTCTGTTTAGGGGGGAGTGTCTGAGGAACTAAAGTGGGATGGTATGGGAGTGTCTATTTGTGCACGCGCGAGTTTCAGAGTCAAAATACACACACACACAGACAGGAGAAAGTGATGGTGTTTAACCTACATGGACATCTGTAGTCGAATTATTTGCCAAATGATTAAATGGTGGACTTTAACTGCAGTTTGGCTCTTTCATTCAGGGAATTCATTCATGTCCCTCGCGACAAACGAGATATTTGATTCGAGGAGCTGCTCTAAGCGTGTATTTTTCATGCAATGTTTGATACCGCACGGCGAATGAGAGAAAAAAACCTCCACATTTCCCGGAAACTTAGATGCACACAGCAGGTAGCGTCAGAAAGCCGCGTGTGTTATTCCGGATATTTAAAGCAAATTATTACGGTTGAACAGTAAATTGCATTAGAAGGCTGATGTCAATATCTTGAAAAACAGGCTGGTTTATGGCCGCTATTTAGGTAATATAATTTATTTTAATTAATAAGTATTTATTATTAATTAATAATTATTTATTACCTTTTGTCTGAAAGCATCAGACATTTGATTTTATATAATTTATAATTAAATTTGAATTACAACTTAAAATAATTTCAAAATGTATATAAAAAATAGGCGATGTTTGAAAAATGACAAATATTTTGTTTTTGTTGTCCAGAAGTCACATTTGTGTCCACAGTGCATGTTAAAGTAAATTTGGCCATAACAGGTGCCCTTTAAAGCTTTCAGTAACAGCTTAAAAGCAGAGCCATCTGAGATCTGTCGATTCATTAAAAGAAAAATACTCCACATTTCTAAATCTAGTGATGAACATATCAATGCGAATCAAGCTCCTCCAACATCCACAACGACTCACAGCCAAAAAACACAGATCGCTGAACAAACACTACAATTATTAGGCACGAGGATCCACTTCAAAGCACATGTAGTGATGCTGTGCCAATAAATGATGCCCAGAGATCAAAGCAACCAAACCATTGAGAATGAGTTCATTCAGATCCAGTTACAGCGCTCCTGCAGGTTTCACTTAGGCTTTCGTAGAGGCTCGTAAATGGAAATGTAGCACTTTCAGAAACGCGTCATTTGTCTGTTATAATTAATTATAAATGACTAGGAAGCACATACATGACATAAGAGAAAAAGAAAGAGTGTTTTGAGTTTATTGCCATGTAAGCTGCAATGTCACGGCAAGAAAAAAAACTAAAATTTACAGACATTTTACACACATCACTTTTCTATAATACAAATGTTTATAGCAATAAAAAGAGAAAATATCCAGTGTGTGTGCATTCATGTGTGTATATGTATTACGTGTGTGTCTGTCTGTCTGTGTGTGTGTGCATGCGTGTATATTTATATGTGTGTATCTGTCTGTCTGTGTGTGTGTCTCTGTAAGTGCATATGCATGTCCTTTTGCAAGTGTACACTACACACACATATACATACATATATATATATATATATATATATATATATATATATATATATATATATATATATATATATATATATATATATATATATATATATATATATATATATATATATATATATATATATAT